GGAACAAGTCCCCTGCTTCATCTATCTAGGGAGTTGCATCACGCCTGTTGGCGGTGTTGGAGATGAGGTCTCACAACGGATTGCAAAGGTCCGCTTTGCATTCATCAAGCTTGGACACCTATTGCGTCGTCACGATGTCAGTCTGAAACTCAAGAACAGGGTGTACATCACCTTCTTTCTTGCGGTTCTCTTATGCAGCTGTGAGACCTAGCCTATTCGCTCAGAAGACATGAAACGGTTGTCAGTTTTTGTCTGTGTAGGATTCAATTCAAGAAAGTGCTTTATGTACCCTTTGGGGTGAATATTCAGCTGTTACACACACGCTTTCAACGTACTACTACTAATATAATATTATAATGTGTCAGCTGTACGCCGTAACGGCGCTTCGCTGCCGCGCGATCGCCACCAGTCGCGCACGGGCTGAGTATACCGCGAGGACGCCCACCCCTACGCGGATTCGAACCGGTGACCTTATGGTTGCGAACCAAACGCGCAGACCACTCGGCCACCGGCCGACTTCCAACATACTAAGAAAAACAAAGCAGTAAATACATACGTAGAGTAATAAGTGGCATAAACAGCAGTGTGGTTACGATGCAAAATTGTTTTTACACTCCAGCACAACTGATGTCTGATCACACAAAAATGTGCCCGATATGGAATGACGGGAAAAAATGGATCTATATTTTTGTCTGGCTGAAGATGTATATACACGCTCAGACAGTGCACCATGAAGAGGGTGACTTGTATCAGTAATTATTCTCGAAGCAAGCGTTATACATGAATTGGTGTGAGTGGACACATGCATCTCAACAAGGGTCGGCTTGGGAATTCCACTACACCGCGATACTTGCGTCAGTGACCTACCTAGGATTTTGTAGTGATTCCTTAGGAAACCAGGAAATATCACAGTGGAGCAATAGGTCCAAAGGGGAATGATACATGCGGTGATAAACCTCAGCCTTGAGTGGCAGGGGACAGAGGTGAATCACAAACGAAGGGCGTAGAATGAAAGCCTCACATTTGTAAAAACATCATTAACATGAAGTGCCCACCTAGGTGCTTCGCTGCCACTCTGGAGTGCAAATTCTCACCATCTATGTGAACTTCGGGGTATTTCATGAAAAGTTAATGATAACCATAACCTTTATGTAGGGAAAAAATGACGTTATTGCATTTTGATGCATTCAGCGATAAAAAGTGAGCTATAGACCAGATAGGCTTGTAGTTTAGTGGATGAGGCTGCGATCGGTTGTTGCATACTCAAGACTACGCCGTCTGCATATTTCAGCAATACAGCATCGACAGGGGTAGGGAAAGAGGGGATGTATGCGGAAACGAGGTATGGCGATAATATGGCCCCTTGAAGCACTCCAGTGTCTGTGGTGAGCGGCGAGGAAATTTTACCTCCAAGTCGAGTAAAGTGGGCACCTCCTGTGAAGTAGAGAGTTGAATTCCAGCATTGTGCAAGTCTCTCAAAAGAAGCTCACAGTTTACACTGCCGAAAGCGTTACTGTAATCGAGAAAACACATGCAAACGGATTTGACTTTCTTGTCTAGTGACGACAGCACTGAATGTACAAGATAGGCAAATTCGTCTTGAGTAAACCTCAAACTAAGTTAAGCAAACTGTAGCGGATCATCTGTGAGTCTGATTCAGCAACTTTTCAAGTTCACTGAGGTGCATGCAATTGGTCGGTCTTTAGCTGATCCTTTCTTTGGCACCGGTGTAATTCCGGCACCTCTCCAGCAGTCAGCGATGTTACACTTTCATGCCCAATGTGTATAGGTCAGCAAAAGTCTGGGCCAAGGTATCGGCGCACAGTTTGAGGACAACGGTTGATAGTCCGTCCGGACCACTTGCTTGGTTGGAGTTTAGCTGTACTAGTTTATACCGCACTGTATTTCTGTCAATGGCATGTAAGCAGGTTGTGGGCCGATCCACTCGTGGGGAAGAAGGGTGAGAAGTGGAGTTTGCATTGAAACAACAGAAGTTTCGGTTCAGTTCTTCTCGGTCCACATCTGCATTTGTCACACAGTTGGAGACTGCACTAAGTTGTTTCAGCATACGCCAGACATTCCGGCAGCTACTATTTCCCAATATGGTCTGAACATATAGGTGGTTTAGACGGCGCAACTCAGTTTTGATAGAAATAGAAAAATATTTCTCTGCAGCGTGGTCTTTCGTTTTGAACGCTTCCTTTTTTCGTCTACGCAAGCATTTTAGGTATGGTGATAAAAACCGATGCGCACGGATGAAACTAGTTTCTAGTGGGCAGCAGATATCAAAGCAGTTGATGTTGCTCGTTAACTGGTACCATTATTTAAACACATAGTTGTCAGAAAAATACTTAAGTCTGTAGATGGAATCACTTCCTGGAGTCGATATATGTTCTCAGGTGTACATTGTCTTCTTTTAAGTCTGCAATCTTTACGAGTAATATTCCTATGGTTTACTTTGCTGCACACGCCTGATTGTACACAAAATACAGCTTCGCATTGTTTACAAATATAAGGTTTATAGTTGCTTCAAGTCTGGTGGGAGAGTTTACGACGTGTTGCAGTCCAAGGTCTGTGAGAAGTGTGATGTCAAATTTGTTGAAATCACTAGCAAAGATCCAAAAAGAAGAATCAATGTGGTTGATGACACTTGAAGTGAACTTATCATAAAATTCCTTGGTTTCACAGGTGGGACAACTCTGGGCAATGGAGATATTTGCGAGCAAAATTGCTTGGTAGACACTTAAACATCTTGGTATACATTCCAAAATCAAACAGTTAATGCTTGGAGAAAAATAGCGAAGCCAACTTTTGTTGTTGTCCACCACACAGGATTGACATAATTGATGACACCTCCGCCGCGGCTCTTGTATGTAGTTGACCGGTCGACACCCTGGCAAATGAATCTCTCGATCGCTACAACCTCATCGTCAATATCATGGAGCCACGTCTCTTGGAGCATAATTTCACCAAACTTTTCGTATTCGCAACAGCGAGTTTTGCTTTTAATCTCCTCCGTTTTGCTCATAACTGATCGGATATTTGAGCTTATTATAATGGGTATACTCATACTCAGCACTATCATTTTGCGTAGAGCAACCCTCCATCCAGCACGATGTTTTTAGTAGAATTACTGTTCTTGTAGATTCGCTTCAGGTTATTTTTTCAGTTTGACCGTGAAAGATCATGACCTACAGTGGGGCAGAATAATAATGAATAAAAAATAATAATGTGTCAGCCGTAACAGCGCTTCGCTGCCGCGCAGCCACCACCAGTCGCGCGCGGGCTGAGTATACCGCGAGGACGCCCATTCCTACGCGGATTCGAACCGGTGACCCTATGGTTGCAAAGCAAACGTGCAGACCACTCGGCCACCAGCCGAAACCCACATTGATTTTGAAATATCGCGAGTATGGGTCAGCATGGCCCTGAAGATTGTATGGATTGGGTAGAACAAAGAAATGCAAGAATTGCCGAAAGCTTGAGTGTAAGTAACTGTGCAGATAGAACAAAAGAGCACCTGAAAATTGCACACAGCAATAAACGCAACTGAAGAATGCGCACCTAAAAATATGCTAGTTCGTTTGCTTGGAACCTACTCGACTGTCATAATCGCCAAAGCCTTGATTCAGTTAGAATACTAAACAGACGGGGCACTGCTCGCCTAATGTACTTTCCCGAGGCCCCAGCGATTTGGCGGCTCGAACGCAATTGTGGCTAACCTTGCCTTGATAAGGTCTGTTTAGTATTCTAAGTGAATAAAGGAAGCTTTGGCGAGTATGGCAATCTAGCCAGCAATCTAGCAATCAAGCAAACGAATTAACATATTTCTTTGTGCCTTTTTTCCGTGTATGCTTTCACCATAGAACTGGTGGCAACATCTCGTTAGCAACACAGCAGTTCGAGACCGAGTGCTTGGGGTAAATAGCCCCTACCTTCGAAACGTTATTCTCCGAAACCTCATGCGTTGCCTCGGCCACGCGTATTGCGTATGCAGCTTATCGCCTTCCCCGTCGAGCGTTATTTGCGCTTCCCAGAGGCGATTTGAAAAAGTGCCGCGGTTGTCAGCCAATGACGTGGAGAAGTGGCATGTAGGCAACCTCACGCTTGACTTCTTCCGGACCGGTCCGCCTTCCAGGATGGGGACCACGCGACTCTGACTCCAAGTGGTTAGAAACGTGGATGCTATGGCGCCAGTGTTGTTGTACCCCATCTCTAATCGAACGAGGAAAATCCCCACGGCAAAACAAAGTCAAAATAACGTGTTCAAGACCAAAGAACCCTATTCTTTTACCATTCTATTTTGCCCTTATCTTTTCTGCCATAGTTCTTGTAGCAAAATGTCTGTAACCAGCACGTGAATATATATATATATATATATATATATATATATATATATATATATATATATATATGTGTTTCGAGTGAGGGGCATACAATCCTGTGACTCTGAAGGAGGTCACATGCATGGATGCATCTTCAACGTCCCAAGCAGTGTTCAACGGAACAGCTATGCGAGTTACCGTCTTTGCGGAACATTGTAATTGTTATACAACAGTGTTGTTGTATTACGTGAATATGCCGCATTGTTCCGTCTACTTTGTCATTTGTATTCCATTTGATATCTGTTCACTGAGTGACTACTCTCACTTAGAAATGGTTCAGGATTCAGATTTCTGACACATATTTATTTAAAATCTTGATTCTCCAACTCCTTTGGATTTACATATTCATCCTTTTTTGCCAATTTTACTACCCGGAATTTTCGGTGTTACACGTTTGCCTTTTTGTGATTTATGCGCAGTAGTCTACTACCCTCATCTGATCTAGCTTACTCTTTACGCCTAAGCTCTTAGACCTGTTTAGTTATGCGATAGTACCACACTGTTGCTTTGTGATGTTTATACTTTTGTGAGGTTATTTGTGAATATTCATTCCTTATCAATCGTATTGCGTTTCTACAGCTACCATTCATCTATTGCCTATTTTGTACTCTACAGGCTGCTCGTAAGTTGGCGATCGTCGAAGTCGATTTCGAACGGGCGGAATCACGTCTAGAAGCGGCGGAGAGGTACCATCATCCCAGCTGTTCGTCTTGCACTCGAGCGAATGGAGGTTCATCTATTGTAGCGATGCGCACTGAGCGTGCATAGCATTGGGCATGTGGTTTTCTTTTGTTGCATTTTGTTGCATTGCTGAACCATTTCGCATGCGCCTGCTTTTTTCTCTCACTTTCTGAGGTGGCGCGCAATTTGTCTCTCACGGAGAAGAACCTTCAGGCGGCGGAGGAAAGAGCAAAAGTTACCGAGGCGTAAGTGACGTATCTGCATGTTTTTTGAGCGCATTTTTCTATGTTACTGGTTTGCAGTGGAAGCCAGCTAGTTGAGTTGTTGGCGATCCGTTCTTTGCTGACTCCGTCCATTCAACTTTGAACACGTTAGATATATTGAAGCTTCCGTTACTTTATTCGCCCTCCTAACAGCTAAGTGTGAGTTTCAACTCATCCTCTACAGAACTTTGGGGTTCACTTTCGCTGGAAACCTATGTCCGGGTACTTCTTAGCATTACACGTGTAAACTATCCTCTACGGAACCGCTGTCATGTAGCGCTTCACTCTTATTCTTAGTGCATGGATACTTTCAGAACTAGCCAAATTGCTCTAAATTGTTCATAGTTGTATTTGACTGATCAAAAGCCGACCCATGGGACTCTACAGTCGTTTTCCCGAGATGGGCCTGCTCGACGCTAACTTATGCTCATGCAACTAGGCCAATGACTTCAGACGGAGTCCCCATGTATATGTCTTATCCAGCTTTTTGTGTGTCTTTCCATTAGATCAACCACTAGAGGTTGCAAACGAATTAGACCCCTCTGTGTGTTGTTGACCGGGGAGCATCGCTAGCTCATGGAACTCCGTCACCGTCACTCATCTTCATTCTCCTCTGTCTGGTACCCGCAAAAGCCGCTCTTAACTGATCTAGTTATGCAAACGGTGCACCTAACTAGTCAACTCGCCTGTAGTTTTCTTTTCGCGTCGAATCTTTCAATCTTCGCACAATGTATCACATCAATCAACCGGCCACTCTAGCACCCACTCTGAGCTGTACTGAGATCGATGTGCACACCGCTTGTGTAAGATGTAACTTCGTTTTTTGCTGTTTTACTTATGTTCAGTCAACGTATCGATGTGGTTACGAAGTCAATCTCGCACTAGAACAAATGCTGGATTCCAACGAATAGCTGCCGATATGTGATCCGATTTCGAAATTCCGTCAGTGTTAACAAGCGACTTCTGAATAAGCAACCATTTGCAGTGTTTCTATACAAACCCCCACCGGCAACAGTTAAGATTTTACCAGCTCACTTGCATCACTGGAAATCTGACTATTGCGATCTTTACTGTTCATAAATTGGACTGTCTGTACTGCCTATCAAAGACCGACGCCTGTCTTCCCATTAATCTCGGTTTCTACCGAAGATCTACGGCATCGATCTAACTACAATAATACGCGTAGCGTCACCTGACACCGATCGGAAACAACCGAACCCAGATTGTTCACATGAAACGAACTGTAGATGAAACACTTTAGAATGCTACTAATTTCACCTTAATTTCGACCTAACACTTGAGCGCGCGGACAGCTTGTTCTTTCTCCTTGCCTCTATCATTTTTATTAAGGTGGGAAAAACGTTTGTTTCAGGCCGTCCGTTTATCACTTCGCACGAATATTTTTGTTCGTTTTCAATCTCGCCTTTGCCTTTAAGTATCTGATCCTCTATTTGGATGTTTACACAGTTTGCCTGGGCCCACACCTAAAGCACTTAAATTATTGGCCAACATGTTAAAAGACGTGTTCTGCTCGGTTGTGTGTAATTACGGTGTCCCGTAAAGCTAGCGGCGGCCACCCCATTTTCATCCCAAGTGGGCACTCATCATGTCGTGTATCCTAACTATAGCGAGGGTGGGGTTATTCGCACGCATTTTCGACCACACCGGATGGCGCTTGCGTCATTTGCTGAGTACAATTGCGTCTTACTCTTTTTGTGCCTTATCACCTTGCTGGCTATTGCAAACGAATGTTTCCCCGGTGTCGGAAGCATCCTGTGTTATCCGTCCTCTTTGTTGATCCAGCCGGACTCGCACCACGTAAAGCAATCTCCTACTTTTATTTTCTAACCGGAACTCACTATTGACTTTGTCTAGATGTGTAATGACGAAGACGATTAGCTTGATTTAATTGCCCTACTGTTTTCGGCTTCATTCCGTTTCTTTTTGTGTCACCTGTTTCTATGCCTCAAGCTTCTCGTCATTCAGCTATTCTCTCTCATAGTGGCAAACACACTATCCTATTCGCAATTACGCCACATTTTCTTATTCATCTGTCGTACCATTCTGACGAAACACGTCACACCTTATTTTAAGGTTATGTTTTCGCTCCTACCTTTTTTCTTTGCAGGCGGGTCAAAGAATTGGAATCGAATTTGAAAATGCTGACGAGCTCATTGAAAGCTCAGGAGATTAAACAGGAAGAGGTATTTTACGATTATAATCGTGATCGCAGCGCTCATTCCTTCAGAGCGCGTTCGTTTGCAATAATAGGTTTCGCGAATTAGGCGAGTGTTTTTCAATTACCCACCTTTGGGTTTTGTTCCATTTTCCTGGACCTCCCTGTTCCTCGCCACTTGGTTAGCGCAGCGGTATAAGCTGAATCATGTTAAACAGCTTGCAATGCGATTCGCCTGTGAAATGCGTAGCATTAGTTTGTGCGCATGCGGCATGCTGGTTTTGGTGCGTTTGTTTATATTCCTATAAGGTTTCTACGTCGTTCTCTTGTCAAGCAAAATTGTGGAATTGGAGGAGGAGCTCCGAGTTGTCGGTAACAATATGAAAGCTCTCGAAATTTCGGAGCAAGAGGTAATTATCAGTTCACTTATTCTTTGTGAAATAACGGTTTGTTTGCCTGCTCTACTGGCACTAGGAATACCCCAACTAGGTGTCGATTTTACTGGTCCGCTTTTGTGGCCTCGATTGTCAGTATTCGTCTCCCTGCGTTCTTGTGTCTGTTAACTTCGACACCTATGAGCAATGTTATGTGAATCCCAAGCTTAGTGTAGTTTTCCCGTACCAATCTGCTATCGTTTCACTGAGGTTGACGCTATGTTGCTCTATGCGTGCAGCCAGTGCTCTCTTCGTAGCACCACCTGATCACACCAGTTCCCGTTCTTTTTTAGTCCACACCATCCATGTTAGGCCACATTGTTCCCTCTAGTCTGCTATTCATGCATGTACTTTCATCAATTTTTTTCTGCTTCACCCTGAGCATATCATCTTACCATCCGGATTACTTTTCTGTATCCATTCATATTAATAATGATGATTATCAGTCATTTGTAAGACTCATTGTTCATACAAAACCGTTGACTTTCACTTTCAAACGCTTAAATTATCAAGAATCCTCAGCATTAGCCGGAAGCGATGTGGGTTGGCGAAGACTAGGTGGAGACGTTTGGTGATATTTAACATACGCTAATACTGTTCCAACTTATTCGTCTCACTAGTCCAAGAAAGACTCCCATGAGTGAACCAACTGCTGAAAAATCTGGGCAACTGATTCAGTCACACCCACTCCACCACGGGGTCGGGCTATTTAAAGATCCGTTCAGCCACCTGATGTATCGGAATTGCTAGTTGGGTCACCTGAACTCATGCATTTTCAACGAGCTCCGACGCGATGTGGGTCTGCGAAGGCGGAACATGGCATCTAGTCCAGACGGGCTTCCATCATTGTTGCTGAACGAAGGTAGCGACTGGCTATGGACTACCTTGGTTTCTCTGTTTAACACTTCTACACAGACGGAAGTGTCATCTGTATAGTTATTGTCGACCGCCATTCTCATCTTTAATTAGCTTCAAAGTACGTCTCGCGAACACCGCTGTGGTATCTGGTTGACCTATATTTTCTCCATACAGTTGACGTGTATCATACTGTTGCGGCTCGCTGCTCCTTCTGAGTGACTAATCAGGGAACGTCAAGGTGAATCCCACTCCAGTAGGGGATGCAATGGCCAATTTTTCACTCTTCATCAGATGCGTGAACGCTACTTCTTACAAATTGTCTATCGTGGTAGTTTTGATTGATTCAACAACTGTCATTGACTTCGTTGATGGCGCCTATTTGCGGCAGTGCCTGTCTCTGAAGAGCATGCTCAAGAAATTCTCATTCAATCCCAAATCTCTGTACCATGATTTTCATGACCGGAGATCTCTTCCCTGAGTTGATCGCTGCAAATGGTGCATCGGAGTCCCCGATTTCTCCATTCCTTCTCATCTTCGTACTGGAAATATTTCTTTACGACCATCTACCTCCTATTTTTGATGGGGCGACGTTTCGCCGGACCACAGACTGACATGAATGTCTCTGGAACGGATGCAGCTGCTATGCGGGCTGCAGTGATTAGGCCGGCCGGTGGCCGAGTGATCCGCACGCCTGGCTTGCAATCATAAGGTCACGGTTCGAATCCGCGTAGGGGCGGGCATCGTCGCGGTATGCTCAGCCCACGCGCGATTCGTGCTGATTACGTGGCAGCGAAGCGCCGTTACGGCGTGCAGCATCATTATTTTACTGGTTAGACCGACGTGTAGCGCTGCACGTCTTATTTTGTACCTTACATCTTTAAATCACAAAAATCGGTTGCTTGACTGGGCTGATTTACCACCATTTCTCACTGTGATCAAACAACCACTCGAACTTGTCGACCGGTTCATTTACCTGGGTAGCTGTAGCACAGGCGGCCACATATCTTAATCGGTTGCTGGCCTCATTGCTGGAAATTCATGCTACTTTCCAATGCCCCAGCCACTTGCGGAGACGTGGGGATGTGACCGTATTAATCAAGAGAAAAGGCCTACAGTGCTGCGACGCTGCTAACGTTACCGTGTGGATCGAAGGCCTAGCTGCTGATTGAAAAATACGTAGGAAAACCGAGTGTGTTTGACCCCCGCCACATGCTTGGTATTGCTCATATGTAGTGGGAGAACCGAGTGATGGTTAAAAACAGACCTGTGCCTCATTGGAGTGCCCCTGCTGAACCCGAATTGCCTTCGTTGCCCCGGCCATGTGCTGCGCATGCCTGCAAACCGGATACGCCCGTCTGCAATGTTTGGCTGTCTTGCTTGGTGAATCCCCTAGTATGCCACTCATTGACACTTGTTCCTAGATGCGGTCCTGGGATCTACTACATTAGTGGTTGGGCACTTTGTCAGATGTTGTGGTTATACTCATTCTGAGCCATCGTCTGTTCACTCGAATAATCTCTGTTCTTGCCAAGCCTTCTTGGCTCGTCGTAATTATTGTTATTACTTTTGGCAACGTACGTCAAAGCGGCTTCGTGCAGCTCATCTAGGTGTCACTATTGATCCTGACCGTTTGCTCTCTCGAGAACATTTGGTCTGATTGCGCTTACTTTTACGTGTATGACAAATATCTGCTTCTCACGGGTTGACAAACATCCCTTATTTCATCCAATTTAATTGCTGTGCTGTTATTTATTGCTTTTAAAAGTCCGCTCAGCGTGAGGAGAGCTACGAGGAGACCATCAGAGACCTAACTGAGCGTTTGAAGGCGGTGAGCCATCGTTCTGCTCTTGTTTGCATGTAGTGCATGTGTGAGTGAACAGATGTTGCCACTGTTTCTCTTGAGAGGCACGTTCAGCTCCCAGGTTGTTCAACTAACAGTCGATACTTCAAACGAATTGGAATCGTGCGTGCGTGCACGCATGCATGCATGTCTCCATCACTTGTTTGTACGTTGGACCAATCGCTCTATGCCATCTTTTCCACACAACTGTCCATGCTATTCGAGATACGCGGAACGACTGCGCACCCAACTATTTTGGTTGTACTTGCCAACCTATGAACTAGGATTAGTATCAGGAGTGTACTTTGGCAATGTTTGGTGTTGCTGCTTCCTCGATACATTGGCGATTACTGATCCAAGCAATTTTCCGGGCTCACACCAAGTGCGAGTATGCTTAGTCTGCGAAGGCAGTTACCGGCCGGTAGTTACAATGTGACTCAAATGCAAAATAGGGAATTTCTTGTACTTATACATAACATTTTGTCTATTAAAATGCATGTTTCACCTTAATACGCCTCTTTATTTGATGTAACGTTTGCTTTTCTACTTCATCGGTTTGAACCCGCATGCTCATCGTTTGCTGCCCATAGTCAACTGAGCATGAAAAGACTTTGGAGGAGCAGTTGCACGCGCTCAAGCAACATGTCGACGAAGTGAGTTTACTATACTTGGATGTTAGCTCTGGGAGACGTAATTTCACCTTTTGACCTTACCTTAAGGTTACCTCCATCACGCAATCAAACGATGGTTCAGGCCAAGAGAATTGCTTGTATTCGCTTCTCAGCGGCCCGGGCCGATTTTCAACCATTGTTCGCTGACGAATTTCCGTTGCTTATTGCCTGATGCTGCCTCAACAGTGTGTCCCCTCACTCCGCTCCGGTAACACATTCTGGTATCCAGTAAACTATAACCACTTGCGCCGGTTAGGTAACGTTCTCCGCTACTTGCCTTCCTCGGCGTGCATTATATGCTGCCGTTGCACTTAATTGGGTGGAACACCGTTAAGTTGGTGACCAGTCGATAACGTGGCTTTTGTGCATGAGCAAATTGACCGTCTTCATGCATTTTATCGGATGCAGCCGCGCATTCAGTAGACCTCTTATTTTTTCACATCCCAATCAAATCTAAGCCGTTTTTCTATTCTGTCTGCGTTCTACTTCATTTTCCTCACCATTGCTGACTACACTGTGCGACAAGAATTTCCTTCCTATAACAGAATTGCCAATTTCCATACCATACCATACGCTCTACTGATTGTATAACTGTATTCCGATGTTACCTAGCACGTCAGGTTACATCGTTATAAGCAAATGATTATTTTCAGTATTACCAAGGCTACATCGTACGGATTATATATAAATGTACGGAATCAAAAATGTACAGAATGCATCTACTTGGCAAATAAGTTTAAAACATTATTGCAACACTCGCCGCTAACGACTGACTGAGGCTTGGCGCTGGGAAATGATGACTTCACCGAGATCGTCGCTTCTATGATTCAGCGCCCTCACGCTGCAGAAACCAGCAAAAGTCACCCGTCAGAAAGACGTGTATTTGCCACTGTAGCGCTGCTCCATGACTGACATGTCTTGGTGGAAGCGCTCACCATGCTCATCGTTACCAGCACCCAAGTACTCAGGGAAAAAGTCAAGGTGACCATGCAAAAAGTGCATCTTGAATGACATACGAGCAACAACAGCCCGATAGTCCGCAATGAGCGGTTTTGCGAAGCCTTTGTAGTTCTCTACCATTGTTCTACCCAAAATTACTGTGCGCGCTGTCTTGAATCATCTCTACGCTTCTAACTCAAATGAAGTCAACTGGCATTCGAAAGCACTGTCTGCTATTATCCGGCGAATATCAGGCCCAGTAAATATCCCTTATTTGAGCTTCGCATCACTCATCTTCAGAAACACTTGTTTCAAGTACTGGAACGCAAAACTATCTCACTTGTGGGTTTTATGAACTTTTTAATCCAACAAAGCTTGACATACAGGGGTGGTAGATAGATATGATCAGGTTGCACAAAAAGTGTCTGCTTTACACTTATTTTCCCTGCAGCATACGCCGTCCTCTCTGGCCACTTTTTCGGTTGTGTAGGGCCATTGAGTTGCTATACTGTCCCAAAAACACAAGAAACAGCAATAATTTATGAAGCCTCCTTGCATACTGAATACTATAATGTAGAGCAAGCAGAAATGAATGCTGTACAACTCTTTCGAAATATGGTGAAAAACGTTATAAAAATTGTCAGCCGTGAATATGGTTATCGTTCTCACGTAACATTTAAAATATCTGACGCACGGTGTCGCAGGACTCACAAATGTGAGGTGTCATCGTAAGTTTGCAATCGTTCTCTCAATCGAATAGTGGTAAAATAGAAATCTAACAACGTTTTGAACTTCTGCACAGATGTTGTCTCCATCACAAGTCCAGGCAAACTGTTCCAAATATTCACCACTCTCCGTTCGAAGCACAGTGGGTGAGGAACTCGCTTCACATCTGGCACGACAAGTTTGTATTTGTATTCGCGTGTGCCGCATGACCCTCGTAAGTGCAGCATTTGCCTCAGCATGGGGAAGTCACCGAGAAGTAGCATACGGTAGGTCATAATGAGGTCGACTCGCACCCGACAAGGTGTGGCGTCCTAGTTTCTCGCACCGGTCTTCATACCTCAAGCCACGTAAACTCGGGATGAGCCTGGTATTAACGTGTTGGACCCGTTCGATCTTTTATGCCACACCTCGGGTACTCGGAAAGTAGGCGGGCGAACCGTATTCTACCATTGGTCTAATGATGGAAGAAGAGGCGAGTGGCAACCTCGTCAGACCATGTGCCGAAGCTACGTTTGAGCGTTCACTTACTCATTAGGAGTCCAATGACTTTGAAGTCAGCACAGATGTTCCAACCGTACTTATCGTAGTTCAGTGCAGCGAGTATATGTTGCACACTTTCCTAATTCTCCTTCAGATTGGTGGATTGCTACAAAGGCCCAGTTTGGTACACATATTTCCACTGTGGAGCAGTATGGCCTCAAGACTACTGTTGGACGAGTCAATGAACAAACGCCATTAATCACTGATACGTCTCACGCCAAGCTCCTTCATCAGTCCTTCCACGTCAGAACAGTAACAAATGCTTTTTCTCGTGTCATAGATACCGGACAACTTACCACTTCGCTTTCTGTAGACGCTAACCTTAGTGTTTGTAGCAAGTAAGTGCCACTGCTGTAGCCGAGAGGCCAGCAACTCGGCCTTGTCTTTAGGCAAGCCTAGGTCACGTACCAAGTCATTCAGCTCTGATTGTTCGATAAGATTTGGATTGACAACATCAGCTCCGAAGTTTTCTTAGATGTTAGAATCAGGGGAAGTTGACGATGCGGAATCCCTACTCACCATCAGTGTCATGTTCACTGGAGGCACTGGAATTGGTAAGGTGCCATCATGAAGAACAGGTCGAATAGCTGATGGAAGATCGGGGTAAAGTATTATCGTGTTTCGGTTGGAGATTCCAGTAACACTGGTTAGGCAGAAGTAGTAGTCTGTCGTGTGATTATTCGGCTCCTTCCACTCCATGGAGATTGCAAAAGGCATTCTGCCTTTGTCCTTGAGCCACTGACTCAGATGAAGATTGCACGGCACACAAACAATATACGGCGACCACTTCTTATCCTGATGTCCCAGTTACATTCCGAAATTTGCGTTGCAGGCAGACTTCAGTAGTAAAAGAATGGGTCTACACTGTTACTTCGTAGTAAACTGTCCACAGTCGTAACAAAAATGATTTCGGTCATTGACACAGCAGTGTCTTTCAGTCATGATCACGATATCAATCAAGGAAACACAGCTCTAAATCGACTTTTAGTATCAGGTGGATACCATAGCCAAGAGGACTTCTTTTCCACGATTACAGGGAGCCAATGTACCAATCACGCGAACATTCGATACAGGGAACGCACTGCTTAGCTAAAATGAAAATGAAAAATAAACCAGACGTGATTAAACGATTTGACTTGCATATTCGTAATCCGCTCACTTGGCACTACTAGAAGCATCCTATTTCATTTCTGTTATAAAAATGATGTTGCACAGTGTTATTACTACCCTGGCGACTCTTCGTAATGATTTGATCTTCCATCCTTAACTACTCCGATCACGATAGTTTGGCTGTTCCGAACCGGCGCATGCACTTATTGCAGTGCAAGCTGCATTTTATTCTTCAATCCTGCCTGTGTGTTTTACAGAAAACCGGGAAAATGCTTTAATTGCTTTGCCACAAATCGTTCTCTTTTTTACTTACGGCCTTACCGCTAGACTGCTAGTTAACTCAGTCTAGTAATGCAAGTGGCATGGACATAAGAAAACCTCTTTGGCAACGGTTTCGTCTGCCGGTGGCCGTGGTCTGCGCGCCTGGTTTGCAATCATAAGGTCACCGGTTTAAATGCGCATAGGGGTTAGCGTCCTCGCGGTATACTCAGCCCACTCGCGATTGGTGGTGGTCGCGTTGCAGCGAAGCGCCGTTACGGCGTACAGCTGGCGATTCATTTATTTAATTAATCATTGCTGTAGCTCTTCTGTAATAGTGACCATTTTTCCCAGACCATTAAATTGTATCTGCCTGCGCTAAACAGTCTTTTGTGTGTCATCTCTGCATGGTGGGTGATACTATCTGGTAGGTTTGCCTCTCCTGCACATTTCATGTCTTACCATGTTACTGCTATTTTTCCCAAAGATACTTATGGAAAGTGAGGGGCTATTTTTTATTCTTATATTTAACTTCTATTGTTCCTTCAGCTAGCTCCAAAAGATCGAGACTAGGCTATCCTAACATGATATCGTCCTCAACCGTTCATCCTGACGGTGGTCTTTGACTTGTTACAATCTGCTCATGAAAACATTCGCGAGGAGAGGCTCGCTGTGATTCTGTTCGTGCTGGATTAATCGTCCAACGTACTAAATGAACGGTTTAGCTAGACATGCTACGCTTTT